GCAGGGACTTTCTGAATCCGATCTAGCTGCATCAACTTCAAGTACTTCAGCGACTAAGGTCTACAATCCTGTCTACAAGGATCCTTTCTACGTAAATATATCCAACAACGACACTTTCAGCAACCAGTCAGCCACTCATCAACATGGCTGCGTTCGAGTGAAGTACCTAGATGATTTTGTCTTAGGTGGTCCATTCCAGTCTGAGGTCGAGACCATGCACTCTGAAGACCAACGTATCACCACCACCTATGGCCATCACTTCTCTAGCCATAAGACGAAGGCTTCCTGGGATTCTCTAACTGCACATGGACTCGGTCTAGTTTGGACTCATGACAACCGTCTCTCCAACAAGAATGTCAATGCCGCCATCTACCATAAGCTACTCGACAAGGCACCCTCCAAGCCCCTAACGGTCCGTCAAATCCTATCAGCAGCTCACAAATGTCACGATCCCTTGGGCTATGCCAGCCAAAAGAAAGCATCGTCGCCTGGAGTCACCCTTTCCTGCTGGTTCCCCCGTATGGCTTCGTAACCCAAGTCCTGCCAAGCTAGCGCCACGCTGGACTGGTCCGGTTATATGTGATGGGCCCTCTGACCAAACCCAGCAATGTGTCAAGCTACGCTCCCTCAGCGGAGTGGGGTAACGAGGGCGCATTGATATTGCTTGAGAACCTTACAGTTCACAAGTGACCTTTAAGCCCGAAATGGCTGCTGTTACACGAACGAGAGGGATATTGGTCGTATTTGTAAGTGCCGTTAGTTACAGTATGAACGCTTAGTCCAGTGATGAAATACATGTTTAGTTGGCTCAGGTGAGCTCAGGAGTTTCCTCGCTGATCATGGGAGTTTACAAACGCATTAGGGTAGAAGTGTTCAGAAAAATAAGTGAATTTTCGGAAATTCGGGATTTTCACATACATTTTCACGTGACATATAGGCGCGCGCCATCTCGATCCACTCGGCACTGCCGAGTCGGCAGAACGAAGGAGAGTTTGCTATTACCCTTCCCTCAATTGACGGTCTAATGTTCAATAGCGAGTTGCTATTGGCGACCTCAACATTGTGGCTCGAATCCGTTGGGACACTTCATTGCAAGAGTTTCACGTCTTGAACAGCTCGCGAGTTGAACTGTCGTTTCAAGTTGAGTTATTTAGCTACCTCATGCGATCCAGCTTGAGCGTCGAGTCTTCAAGCTCTGTACGAGGTCGATCAGTGACTAAGAGAGGAGTTGCTGCTAAATCAACGAGTGAGGCGGCTAGACGTTGCTCTGAGTCTGTGGTGAAAAGAGTGCCGCGTCATGAATGCTGCAGTAGTCGTTGCATTGATGGGTTCGACACGGAGCTCCTCCTGGATGAACGCTAAAATTTTCGTATGTGGAGGCCGGTACATCGAGGAACCGGAATGGTCGAATGGAATACTTGTTTGAATTTTGGCGCGACCATGGTATGATAACGAAGAAGAAATCTCATGGTGGGAGATTTGTTCTTACCATATATGGGACTATGTTCTGCTGGAACGCCTTGGTGCATTTCCTGGGCGTTAGGAAGTCGCGTACAAACGAGGTGTCGGATATAAACCGAT